CTTTAGCACCAACAGCAGAGCTCCGGCTGCAGTCGGCCAAGGTGGCGGTGGCTTTGATGTTTTCCAGGCCAGCTTCCTCATATGGACACGGAGGATAACTAAATGAAGAAGAGAGCTCTTGCTGGAGGGTTGTGAAAATGGCTGAAAAGTATTGGTTTGGCTCTTCTTCTTCATCAGTAAGAATGGAGAGTATGTTGTCGTATGATTTGTTGCGCTTCGAGTTTGTATCATCTGCTTCATGGGATTCTCCTCTCTGGCGCTTTGGTTGTGATTCAGCCATTGTAGAAGAAACTAAACAGAAATAGAGGGAGAATTGAGGAGAGAGTGAAGGGGGAGGAAAGGTTTATATGGAGGAAGAGGCTAAGTATTCGTCTAAATAAGTTAAAAAAGATCGAGGGTTAAAGAGTCGAATTAGGATTCAATGAAATTGACGGGTTCTCCATTCTTTGCTTGTTTTAAACATTTTCAATTTATTATTATTATTATTATTATTATTATTAGGGTAATTAGCAGAAATGGTCNATGAGTAGTACATATCAAATCTTTTAAGTTTTTCTGGTCTGGGTATTACAATCACCCCCCGTTAGACTCGCGACGTCCTCGTCGCGCTTGATCCATCTGAGGACAAAGTATGCTGAAAAGATCCATGTTGGTACAGTGGGGACAGTACGTCGTCGATCTAACTGCCGGAACAGCCCGTTAAGTGGGACCCGGGTCGTTACAATTTGGCCAAATAAATTTTTATTTAGATTAATAACTTTTTTGTCCGAGTATAAAAAATATTACTAAATTTATTTCAAGGGTTGTTTTCCTCTGTTTGTTCTTTCATTCTTTGTGGTAATTTTGCACCGTGTCCTTTATTTTATGTTGGTTCTTCCATTGGGCCGACTTATCAAATTAAGCAATTTATATATAACTAACCAATAAAAAATTGATGTAAAATTTTGTATTATTTATAGTTAAGTATATACATTTTTTAAGCTTAGCCAAACACGAACATAGCCATATGGAGGCAGATTCAGGGACCTTGAATATGGAGGCACGGCTATCACTTTTACAATTACAAATTTGCAAATTCTAAGTATATTACTCTAATATAATTTGTACTTTTAGTGCATTTTAAGAAAATATTTATTTTTTAATTTTGACATTATTTTAAATTAGGTGCTACTTCTCGAGCTTCAAAATTTTCTTAGGCTATTGAGAAGAATTGACTCTCTCACTTTTAAGGCACATTTGGTACACCTTATTGAATTAGTGGATATGACTAGGACGGATATGATTAGGAAGATTGCCCTAATGCCGTGTTTGGTGTTATGCCGTATAAGTAGATTGTACCAAGTAATGGAAAATTAAACAATTATGACAATATTTTTTTGGGTTATAAGAATGTTTGTCTTACTAAGTGAATTTTTTTATTTATAATTTCTTGTATGGATTTTTTTTTTTACTTAAGAGTAATTTCTCTTATAATTGAATTTTTTAGTTATAAGTAGTATTTTTTACTTAAGAGCAATTTTTTACATATAAGTGGATCTTTGTCTTATAAGTTATTTTTTGCTTATAAGTAAATTTTTAGTTATAAAGTAATGTTTAATTATAATCGATTTTTTTAGTTATACGTAGTGTTTTTTACTTATAGATAATTTTTACGTATAAGTGAATTTTTATCGTATAAGTTAATTTTTACTTATAATTAGTTATATCTAACTATAAGTGATTTTTCTACTTATATAAGCATTTTTTAATGAGTTTTTTTTTTTTACTCAAAACACATTTTCTGTACTTATAAATGAAGTTTTATATTACAAGTGATTTTTTCACTTATATACTGTATTTACTTATAAATTATTTTGCTTATTTATACACAAGCTTTTCATTTGAAAGTGAATTTTTCGCTTATAAGTGGTTATTATTATTATTATTATTATTATTATTATTATTATTATTATTATTTGCTTAGAAAGTGAATTTCTTAGATCTTGTTTAAATTTATGTAATTCAATTTAATTAAATTGGTGAATAAGCAATACGGTCTAAACCCACATAGGGTATTAATTTATATGATTGAATAAAAGAGGATAATCTGAATACGAATTGGCTTTAGGGAATGTTTTTTTCAGTTGAAAAACACTAAAATCTTACACATTTTGGCAAAGAGGGATAGAAGTTGGTGCCAAAATAGTGCAAAATTACCTTGTAAATAATATAAATTAACGAGGACAATAACTTCGTTTCTTATACAATAGTTAAGAATAAATGGACTATTGTGACGGAATTTGAAAAGTTAGTATACAAAATTATACTATTTATTTGGAGACTATTGACCTCCCATTTTTTCAAAACTCATTTTTAACCTCATATTCTCATATAAAATAATTTTACACGTAAATCAAAAAAAATTTCTTACATTTTAACCACATATTATCCAACAAAACATTATTCTAAAATGCATTTTGACAAAAAAAATATATATATATGGTCAAACAAGAGCTAAAAATGTACATAAAAATGTACATAATGGATTACATAATATGATGTGGAGGGAAAAGATTTGATGCAAAAAATTGATTGTATTTTAAATTAACAAATGATAAAGTGACATGTAAAATTATGTAATCCATTATTTAACTCTTGATGTACATGTATCAAGACTCATTAATAGAACCCTAAAGCCACACAACATATAACCCTTGTTTGATTTCATTATTTTCAAAATAATTTTTTCTCTTTTCTTTTCAACTACACATTCTTCAATAAAATAATATTACATGTAAATTCAAAAAATTTCCTTATTTTTTAACCACACATTCTCCATTAATTTATTATTCCAAAATGCATTATTCAATAAAAATGGGACTCAAACAAGCTCATAATTAACTAGTCCCTTTTCCTTCGCCAAATAATTGAAACAAAAACCATAATGGAAAAACTTGTAGCATAATTTTCATGACTGGTCTATATTCGATTGTCAATCAACTTTTTTTTGGGAAACTTGAGAGTCGTGCTAGGAGTACGCTCCTGGTGTACACCCCGATTGACCCCCTCTCACAGGGGGATGGAGCCCGCGATTATTTTTCACGGGCCCCACGCCCCTGTGAGAGGGGTGTCATTGTGTACACTCAGCATAAATCGAAATCTAATCATATTGTTGACTACGTAATTATTAAGCCAATAATAGCTAGTTGTCACCCCCTAGAGCACAAAAATTCACAATATTATTTTTCCAATGAGCACTAATGAATGCAAAATTTATAATCACGGGCCCCACCCCTGTGAGATGGGTGTCATCATGTAGTCTTAGCATAAATCGAAGCCTAATCATATTGTTGGCTACACAATTATTAAGCCAATGATAGCTCGTTGTCACCCCTAGAGCCCAAAAAATTCACAATTTTTTTTTTCCAATGAGCACCAATGAATGCAAAATTAGGTCTACTCAGCATGTGCATGGCACCTCATATGGGCCTTGGCTTTATTATCCCACGGTCATTGTCACATGGCCATGGTTGTTCAACTTTTAAGCCTATGCTATAAATTTTGTATGCTAAAGACCAATTTGGTTTGGATAAAAATTAGATTTCTATAAATTTTGAAAAAATTTGATGATATTTATGGGGGTTAATTACTCCAATAGTTACTGAACTTTACCGAAAGTTTTCACCAGATCACTGAATTTTGAAAACTACGTGGTTAGTTATTGAACTTTGAAAACGCAACCCATCCATCACTGAACTTTGAGAATCACTACATTCATCACCGAACTTTGCAAAAAGTTTCCCAAATGGTCACTGAATCCAATGACCATTTGGGAAACTTTTTGCAAAGTTCAGTGACCTCGTAGAAATATTTTGCAAAGTTCAGTGATGAATGGGGTAATTCTCAAAGTTCAGTGATCGATGAGGTTGCAGTTTCGAAAGTTCAGTGACTAACCACGTAGTTTTCAAAGTTCAGTGACTTGGTGGAAACTTTCGATAAAATTCAGTGACTATTGGGGTAATTAATCATATTTATGGTTGAAAAGTTGATAAAAATTATAGATCCATAAAATATGTATTTGAAAATAAATTTGAGAAAAAATTACTTTTAAAAAATTGAACCAAACATGGGGTAGGATTATTTTGTCCCATAAATGAAATTCAATAAAAATAAGTCACTGTTTAGTCCGGATTAAAATCTGATTTTAATCCAAGCCAAAGTCAAACAACAATATTAACCATATCTTTCATGGGTCCCACAACTTTTCAACCACACATTTCAAAAACTTCTATCACAATCTACTAAAAATCTAATTTTAATTTCCACCAAACACCCTCTAAGTTTTGATGCGATAG